GTTACACTATATAATAATATCTGACTGATTAGTTATCACTATTGTTATTATTATAAGATGTTATTATATATGCAACAATTAAGTTTCAGAACTTTGATTTTCAGAATTTCTGAGTAGAACTCTTCAGTACAGAAAGAGAACCAATATCTGACTTTTATATTTCAAGTTTGTATAAAAAATTTTTAATGAAATAAATGAAGTAATTCAACTAAATGTTAGAGATTCTATTATATATTTATTTAATAACTGGTTGTCTAACACTGTCAATTATTCTAAAGTCAATTGCAACTTAAAAAAAAATAACTTGCAGCATAAAAAAACTAGTAAATCTGATTAAAGTCTATTTTAAGATATTCTTATTAGAGGCATATTCTTGTCTCTTATATCAAAAGCTTATATCAAGAGTTACTTATATTAACAATTATAAAAATTTCTTATTATTGAGTTGAATTGTTATAGGACTTAAAAATTCTTGTGCACATAACCATATATTACATTTTTAGTTTTCATCAGCTTTCAAGCATTAGATTAAATTTCTGCCCAATATTGTTTATTAGACTTTGATTGCTTTTAATAGTCCTTAAGCATTAGATTAAATCTTTTTCCAAACAAAATTTCAAAATAACAATAATATGCCTTAAGGAAAATACTTATCTTACTTGGTATCACTATTTAAGTTATATAGAATATCTGAATTCTACAATATGTAATTTTCTCATATCAAATTTTTTTATTTTATTTTATTTTTCTTTTTTTTGTGAGGACTATACAAAAAAAATAAAAAAAAATAAAAATTCAATGTGAAAAAATTACATATCATAGAATTCTGAACACCCAATTCTTATTTAATAATTTTGTAGAAGAAACAAAATTTACTGTCTTAATATAAAGCCTTATAGTTAGCAAAATAAATAAATAAATAAATAAATAAAATTAAAGGTTTAAAATAGAGATAATAATCAAAAAATAAACATCACAACTCTTTCCAATGATCACTTAAACCAAACCAGCACCAAAACAGTTTAAAGAGTTATGCTTTTAAGATAATGATATCTTTGATTCTGTTTAGATATATAAAGCAGATTGTTGCTAACAAACTAGAAGTATGTAAAAAAACTGAGATGCAGGTAATTCTTCTGATAGTTTGTGTTAAGGTCAAACCTTGTCTGTTAGTAGACTTCTCAACATGTTTAGTATCCAAACCAGAAGAACATTCTGGAAACAATAGAGAAAAACTCTGGTTAAAGATTATCAAAAGCTTAAAAACAAACAAACAACTAGAAACACTCTCTTTGGTTTGGCTTTTTGCATATTTTATTTGTTGACTTTCTCTATCTATTTCATTTTTCTCACTCAAAAGTAAGAAAATTGGCACCCTCTCTACAAAAAATCAGCATTGTTTACTACTTTCTTTTTCAGACAATTACGTGTTGTGATATGATGTAATAAGAACACAACAATCATATATACAGCCTAACATATGGTGTAATGAAGAAACAAAAAAGGATTTAAGTTAGAAGATTATAGCAAATTAGAGATATATAGTAATTCCTAAAATTATGTATATAAAATTTTTACCTCTTTAGTATAGGTTAAAGTGTAGTTAGATCCTTAGCACAGGTTTAAAGTAATAGTGTCCTAAATGATCATAAATAAGTTATGCTCCTTAATACATTTTTTCTTTTCTTTTTTTCTTTCTGTATTTCTTTTTAGTTTAGTTTAGTGTTTTTTTTTTTCTTCTTTCACTTCTCTATAAGAAAGTGTTATCAGATTGCTAATACTTTATTGTAAGGCAGTAGTCAGATGAGCCCCTCAGATATTCTTTTTTCTTTAGAAATTAGGCAACTGGTGTGGCAGATCACTTGTAAGTGCTCATAGAAGTAACTGCGAAATGTTGACTTAGCATATTAAATCTAAAAATGTTTGTTAGTATATACAGTAAACAGAAATCTGAATAAAGAGTATCAGCAAGACTGTCAAAGTGAAAAAAAAAAAAATTAGAGATAATAAAAAAGAGTTAATTTGTTATATTCATTTAATAAAACTTATCTCTATAAACTATCATAATAGTAGTATGTCTTTTAAAAAGTGAGTAGGAAAAACTTTACTTAGTAATGAACAAAAGAAAAAAATTATTAATTTTAAAGATAAAACCCTAATATTAGCCATGTTAATCTTGTTGCATAGATAAAAAAAAATATAATCTTGATGTTTACTTGACTACTATTGAACATCTAATCAAAAATAAAGATGACATTAGTGATAATCTCTCTAAAAAAAGACAAAAAACAGTTCAATATCTGGATCTTGACAATATATTGCTTGAGTGGGTTTTATAAAACCAAGACCAAATTATATTAAGTAATGCAATTCTAATCAAAAAAGCCAAAATTTTTGCCCAAATGTTAAAAATACCTGATGATAATCTTAAGTTTTTATATAGGTGGTAATTTAAGTTCAAAAAAAGGCATGGTTTAGGACAAATAAAAAAGCATAAAGAAGATGCATCTGTAAATAATAGTGAAGTTGCAATAGCCTTTTCTTAGTTAAAAGAGGTGTTAAAGAATATGATTTAAAAAATATTTACAATAAGGATGAAACAGGGCTATTTTATTAATATATAATAATAAATAAGTAATACTAAGAAAAAACAAGACTTCAATCATATAAATTTTATATGATCAAAGCCTGGTTTTCTTTTGGCATTACCCAAATTTTTACAAATTAGGTAATACATATTAACTTTTTTTTTTCCTTTCATTTTTTAGTTTTGAGCTAGATACTACATTAGCAACTGTTTATCTTAAGAGTAAAAAAAAAATAAAAAATAGTTAACTGTGGCCCTTTATGACAATACTAATAGAATGGATAAAATTAAACTATTTGTAATAGGTAAGTCTCCTAATTCATAATGCTTCAAAGGTATCAAACATAACAAGCTTGATGTCAAATATAAGTTAAGTAGCAAGGCATGGATGATGAATGTATTGTTTCAAATGTGGCTTAAAAAATTTGACTTAAAAATAGCTAATCATAAGGTAATTTTTTTAGTAGATAATGTCAGAAGCCATTCTTCTAGTAATTTAAACCTTTATAATACTATTATCTACTACCTTCCTTTAAATATAATATCTCATATACAACCTCTGAATGCTGGTATTATTATATCTTTCAAACATTACTACAAAAGTTACTTTATAAAATAGATGCTTAATCAGTATGAATCTGAAAATAATGAAAAATTAAATATTCTTTCTGTTATAAAGTTTATTGTTTAGACATGAAAAGAGGTATTATTAGAAACAGTATGTATATAGAATGGTTATCTTTTTTTAATAAAACAAAATTATTGTTGCAGTTGATGCTAATATTTGGAATCTCATTTGAAGTTTGCCAAACTTACTAAAATTTACATATACCTTTTTATTAACAATTATAATCATGAATTCTAATTTTAATTCTAAAAAATACTAAAAAAATATATTCATTAGTTATTTTAAATATTTTAAATTAAGAGAATGGCAATTCTAGTATAGTAGCAGGTTGTCATCTTTTAAGTAGCAGATCTAAGGTTCAAATCCTACCTACAATAAAATTTGGAAATTAATCTATATTATGGCAAACTGTCTTTTGATGATCAGTTGGATTTGTGTATTTGTAACCTTAAGTTGCACCATCTTGAATAGAAGCTCAAGGCATCTATGCCAAGTGTAATGGTATACATACATAGAGGAATGTTAATAACTAGTGTCACATAAGACTTTGGTGCAAACCCATAATAAGACCACTATGCATAGTAAACTAAGGAACTAAAGAGTCAGAAGCCTACTTGGAAATTCCCAAGTAAAGAAGTAGCATAAACTTTCGATAGTATGGTCAGACTGATAGAAGCCTATGAAACATTCTCAAAGAGATAGGCAAATAAACCAGATGTTAAGATGCATAGAGAAGCATATAACCAACCAGGCTGCTAGAATTGCCAGAAGAAAAAGATATATAAGTATACTATACTGGACTATCTAAATTAAAAGTTGGGTGAGTTCTGTTAGTTCTAAGTAGCAGTTAGTAAGAGATGATGGAAAAGACATCATAATGATAAGTACTAAGGTTCTAGTAAACTTTACAAAGGTAAAAATAGTGTAACATAATAGTTAAACAGATAACCCCTATGATTGCAAGTGTTAGATAACTATAACATATTGCATAAAACTAGATCAGCTATATGTAGAACACAGAAGCTTCTAATAAGTTTCTGTTAAGAATAAACTAGTCCTAAAGGTCTCAAAAGCATCAGGTACTTTGAATGAGTGTAGTCCAGAAAATGTTCTCATAATTACAAGTCAGATTACATATGCAAAAGATTTAAATAAGCAAGACCTATAGTTGGCTTGCAGGTATGGCACCTAATGTAGAATTTGTATAGTAATATATAGGCAGACTACTTAAATTAGGTACTAAAAGTGCACATGTAACTAGTTGTAATCTCCTATATATAGAAGCTCTAAAGGCATCTGTGTCTAAATACTTGAATAAAAAAATTGATCTCCAAAGGCAAGGACTTTAATATTAAAAAAAATATATATATATATTTTAAATTAAAATAATTACAAGTGAATTTTGATATATAAAAGGTAGTTAAGTTCATAGTAAAATTTTACAAACTTTCTTATATTGAAAGTTTATTGATATCTTATATCGAGTGGATTTATTATAGACTAGTTTTGGCTTGACTTTGTTATATTGATAGTTTAGTTAGTCCTTCTTATATTAAAAGTTTCTTATATTGAGAATTATTTGTAAATAGCACAAGCAATTAAAAAATTTTTAAAATTATGTTAAAGTTTAAGAATAAATTTTATCTATCTATAGATATGTAATTGCTTCTAGTATACAAAGATCCTTCTAGTTGTTCAAAATAACAAACCTACTAATGATAACAATGAAAATGAGTTAATTAAGAAATGTAAGTAAATATTAAAGCACTACATTTCTAAAATATAATGGATTTTGAACTATACTTTAATTATCTAAAGAAAGAAAATACAAATGAAGTGTTGAATAATCAGGAAATCTTAATCTTAGTTACCAATATAGAATCTAAAAAGGTTTTAATTGAAGATGACAATAGTAAAGAGGACAAAGATGACAGTAAAAAAATCTTTTTAATACCTACTATAAAGTGTTAAATACCATTAAGGTGCTGAAACAATATCTTATACAACAGAATCTAAGTGATACAGCCCAGTTAGATCATGATCAATCATTACTAAATTTGCAAAAAGCAATCAGAAACTTTTAAAATGTATCTTTTAAGCAAGTGAATCTTGAAACCTTTTTTCAGATCGACTGTTTAATTGAGTAACAAGTAAATTAGTAATTTTTTTTTAGATTAGAAAGTAGATTATAAAATCTATTGTTATATATAAATAAAATAATAAATTATAAGCTAAAAAGTTGCTTATATGTGAGCATTAAAAAATATTTAAATTTACTTGCTTTGTAAACTTGTTTAAAAATACAAATAGATAAAACTGTAGAATCTAATAATTAGATGTTATATAATGGATTATATATCATGATCTTATTGGCTATTCCCTAATTGCAGCCTCTAAATGCATGCTTTGGAGGTGGTTCTGCTGATGTGTTTTTAGAAGGGTCTAATGTATGCAACTAAATATTTAAATATTAGTATTTTTTTTATATTGATTATTTAAATATTTCAAAAAATATTTTTTATCAATTATTAATTTATTAAATATTTTTTTATTTTATTTTTTTAAATATTTCTAGAATATTTTGGCAAGTTGCAGTAAATGAAAAAATATTTCACAAGAATTCAAAATTGTTTGTATTATTTTAAAATACATTTTTGATTATTAATATTAATTATAATTAACAAAGTTTATTAGACAAGTAAAAGGCTAAAAGAAGGTATGATTGTTAAATTTTAAGTATTGTTCATTCTTCTTTGCAGTATTTTAAGAATATTTTTATAATTCTTAAAATTTTTAATTATTTTTATATATTTTTGCTTATTTTTAAATATCTTCATATTTTTTTGTTTTTTTTTAAAAATAGTTTACTGATAATATTAATATTTAATTTAAATTTATCTGATAAAAATCAAAATATTGAAAATGAATTGTAAAACTTTTTTATTTTTTTATTATATTTAAATAATTTTTCTTTTTTTTAGTTAAATTTGAGTGAATTATATACAAGAATTTAATATTTAAATGAAACTTTTTTGTTTTTTTTGTTTTATTTACTAATACATCTTTAGTTGTTTTACAAATTTTTGAAACTTTTTAAATTTTTTCAAATTTTTTTATGAATTTATAAATTTTTATATAGATATTTCTTCTTTTTTTATCTTTTCTTATTTTTTATTTGTATTTGATATATAAATCAATTAAATAAAGTTAATATAAATTAAAAATAATTAAATTTACTTAGTTAATGATTAAATAAAAAAATCAATTAAATTTTTTTTTTATTTATTTTTTGCTTATGCTAAGGCTGTAGTTATTGGCAGCTATTGCCTTTATTGTATATTAATTATGATTATATAATTTGTACAAGATAAGTATACAACTAGTCATATGTACAACTTTTGGTTGTCTATTTTAAATAGTCTGCCTGCATAGCAAGTTCTACACTAGCTGCTATACTTGCAATTTATTAGAAAATTACCTATTTAAATACTTTAATCTTTATACTTATACTAACAAATAGCATACAAGTTCCTGTATATCTAAGTGCCATCTAATTTAACCATAACCTTTTTATCTATATATCTGTTAAGCTGTTATATATTTCAGAGTATATTATCTGACTGTAGGGCTCCAGAGGGCTTTCTGCTAACTAACTACTCATATTTAGTTTTTTGTTAACAGGCTTGCCCTTGCAGAGTTTATCCAAACTCTAGTACCAACTTTATAACATATTTTTAGTATTTATAGTATACACCTGTTTCTGATTTTAAACTCCCAATTCAGATAGCCTAGTAGGACTATAACCTGTCCCTAGTACTTTAGGGTCTTTTTTAACTGGTTTAAGACTTCTGACAGTCTGGTTGATAGTACTTCTTATATGAGATTCTTGTTTACCTAATTTCTTTCACATTGGTATCTGTTTTTTAGGTCTAGCCTTTACAGTAGTATTGTTAAAGATTTGTGCTATCTTTTTACTCAAGTCTTTCCAAGTAGGCTTTGGTTTCTTAGTTTACAGATTAATATAACCACAAAAACTTATCTTGAGTTTGCACTACCTGATGCCAGTTTGCATTCTTCTATATAACTTCAATATTGCACAGATGCCCTATGACCTGCTAGTCATCTGATGTAACTGTATTACAGGTACTAATTTCAACTAATTGACAGAGTGCTATTGTTATAATACTGCTTATCTTCTGTAATACTAATATAATATAGATAGTTTTTCAAATTTTCACTATTAATAGATTTTAAACTTCCAATCTATTACTTGGAGGGTTGACAACTTAACTACATTACTAAGTTATCACATCTTGCAATTAAATTTATTAATATATATAAATAGCAAAATTTTAAATCAAATGAAATAAATTTATCAATAAAAATTATTTTGTAATTTTTGAAATATTTCAAAATTATTTTAAAATTTTTTAATTATTTTAAAAATATTTCGAATATTTCAAAATATTTTGAATTGTTTTAAATATTTCTAATTATTTTTGAAATATATTTTCATTTTTTTAGTTTTATTATTTTTAAAAATTTGTAAAATAGCTGAAATTCTTTTAAAATTTTTTCATTTCTTTTGCAATATTGTGAAATTATTTTATTTCTTTTACAATATTGTGAAATTATTTTATTTTAAAATAATTTTATATTAATTACAGTTATTTCAAAAGATTTTAGTATGCAAAATTTTTCACAATATTTCATATATTTATTCTGCTGATATATTAAAGAATGATAATGAAAATATTAGAAAGAAGAGTATTAGGATTTGGATGAACTTTACAAGAATAATAGAAGTTTAATGAATAATTCTGACTACAAGTATTAATATTAGCTATAGCAAAAAATCCAAATTAGCAATAAATAAAGAATATATAACTCACTCTGATAGGTTTATTCTCAAGAATAAAATTGTTCTAAGATTGAGATAATAATTTAAGTACAAGTAATCTAGTGAAATTGATATAAGGATTTTATATTAGAAAGTTTAAATAGAACATCTAAGTAAGAATGTTAAGTATAGCAACTAGTAAAAAACTCCTAAACAGATTTTTTAAATAGGTAATATAGAAAAATTACATGTATAACTAGTTGTATATTTTTCATAATGCTTAACAAAAGTATTAATAAAGTTAAAAGACTAAAAAGATCATCTTAAATACTAAAAAAAAACTAATTAAAAGTATTAAAACTAACAAATTTATCAAATAATTAATTATATAATTTATTAATAATTTTTACTTTGAATTTAGACATTTTTAAGAAAGATCAGATTTTTACAATTTATTTATTTATTTTAAATCATTATATTTATTTACATTTTGCATTATATCTAATAATAATGTTATAGTTAAAATCTTAAGTATTAGTTATTATAATATACATTGTTTATGCAGAAGACTGGGTTAATGACGGTCAGGCCCAATGTACTGGGAAGACTACAGTATCTTTCACAGCTGTGCGAGCCGAGCTTAAAATGGTGAGCGACCTTGCAGAAACATCTTCTCACTCCTTGGATTCCAACTCTTCATCTAACTCCAAGGACCTTCCCTGCTATAATATCTTTCTTATCAATCATAATCTT